AAGCCACAGCTTAGTCTACCAACGAGACGTGTTAACCTGATGAAAGCACTGGATATTCTGAGGACTGAGGTCGTGGCGGCCCCAGACATCAAGTAGTGTGGTGGGTGGAGTGCAGTTGCAACTGGACCCGCAGCTAATCAGCGATGAGCAGGCGACAAGACAGGTAGTTTGGTGGTTCGAGGTGGAGCAGGTGTTCCTGGCTGCATACGTTTTGCGCTTCTGGCAAAACTTGGTGTTGTTGTCGTTGTTGGATATTTCTTCCATATTAGTTGTATAGGGATTTATATCGACGTATTTTGGAGGGAAGAGCAGGCTCAATCTCTTGAAGGAGATTATCGTCACAATATATATATATATATATATATATATATATATATATATATATATATATATATATATATATATATATATATATATATATATACACATATACATATACATATATATATATGTGTGTATATATATATATATATATATATATATATATATATATATATATATATATATATATATATATATATATATATATATATATATATATATTTATGATCGATGTTCCCTTCGGGAATCTTAATTTTAAGATGAATAGGAAAACCAGGGATATACTGAACATCTTGTTTCAGATTCTTTACTTTAAAATGCATAACGTTTCGAATACTTCTGGTATTCATCATCAGCTCTAAAAGAAAAAACAGAAATCACAATCAAATAACTGGTAAACAAAGAACTCATACTGAATATAATTGCCTATCAAAGAAAGGAAAATGCTTAAAAAACAAAACACTTAAGCGCCCTTAAAGTGATCAATACAAATAAAACTTATTAACTGTCACATATATTAAAGCTAATTTAAAAATCCATTAAACTCCAAGATGAATTTTATAACTACTAAAACAAACCATTCTATTAAACTTACGTGAAGTGATCAGAAGTGAAACTTGATACCTATCACACAGATACTAAACACTATAACAAATATTTATATAATGACTACAAATCTACAAAAAATGTATATAAAATACAAACAGAATAAACGACAATTATAAAGTACTAACCAAAATCTTATAAAAACTCAAATATTAAATAAAATAAAATACCAAAAAATGTATTATATATCCTAAATAAAAGATTATATTAATGTACAATGTCAAGACTTGAAATAAGTAAGAAAGGGCAAAGACATGGTAAACTAAACAAAATTATAATAAAATTAAACTACCAGAATGAACTATAAATCAAATTACAGGGCCTACTGTGCACTATACAGTGTACAATTGAACAGCTGAAAGGTTGCTATTTAACAGAGGCCGCAGCTCCTTTATATATAAGGATTCCATTACTCCATATAGACTGCGGAGTTCTTTGTTTACCAGTTATTTGATTGTGATTTCTGTTTTTTCTTTTAGATCTGATGATGAATACGAGAAGTATTCGAAACGTTATGCATTTTAAAGTAAAGAATCTGAAACAAGATGTTCAGTATATTCCTGGTTTTCCTATTCATCTAAAAATATATATATATACATATATATACATATATGTATAAATATATATATGTCGTACCTAGTAGCCAGAACGCACTTCTCAGCCTACTATTCAAGGCCCGATTTGCCTAATAAGCCAAGTTTTCTTGAATTAATGTTTTTTCGACTACCTAACCAACCTAACCTAACCTAACTAAACTTTCTCGGCTACCTAACCTAACCTAACCTATAAAGATAGGTTAGGTTAGGTTAGGTAGGGTTGGTTAGGTTCGGTCATATATCTACGTTAATTTTAACTCCGATAAAAAAAAATTGACCTCATACATTATGAAATGGGTAGCTTTATCATTTCATAAGAACAAAATTAGAGAAAATATATTAATTCAGGAAAACTTGGCTTATTAGGCAAATCGGGCCTTGCATAGTAGGCTGAGAAGTACGTTCTGGCTATTAGGTACGACATATATATATATATATATATATATATATATATATATATATATATATATATATATATATATATATATATATATATATATATATATATATATATATAAAACCAATTGTTCTCGGTACCAATTGTTCCTGCCCGCCATCTGAGGAGCTGGAGGAACTCGACAACCTATGATAACCATCTTTGTAACCCATATGTAACTCCTTTTTTGTAACAAAGTTCAAATAAAGTAAATATATATGTGTACATATAAAAGAATGGGGGTGGTAGGAGAAGATAATATTAGTGTTCAGTGAGAGACCACAAGGTCTTCTCTGAATACTTTTTATTTTCTTCTCTGAGGCTATGGGTCCCCACATTGGCACCAGAGGTGGTACCCTCACAACCTATATATGTATATATATATATATATATATATATATATATATATATATATATATATATATATATATATATATATATATATATGTATATATATATACATATATATATATATATATATATATATATATATATATATATATATATATATATATATATATATATATATATATGTCGTACCTAGTAGCCAGAACTCACTTCTCAGCCTACTATGCAAGGCCCGATTTGCCTAATAAGCTAAGTTTTCATGAATTAATTGTTTTTCGACTATCTAACCTACCTAATCTAACCTAACCTAACTTTTTCGGCTACCTAACCCAACCTAACCTATAAAGATAGGTTAGGTTAGGTTAGGTAGGGTTGGTTAGGTTCGGTCATATATCAACGTTAATTTTAACAACAATAAAAAAAAATTGACCTCATACATAATGAAATGGGTAGCTTTATCATTTCATAAGAAAAAAATTAGAGAAAATATATTAATTCAGGAAAACTTGGCTTATTAGGCAAATCGGGCCTTGCATAGTAGGCCAAAAAGTGCGTTCTGGCTACTAGGTACGACATATATATATATATATATATATATATATATATATATATATATATATATATATATATATATATATATATATATATATATATATATATGGTACCACCTCTGGTGCAATTGTAAGGACCCACAGCCTCGAAAAAGGGAACACAGAGCATTCAGAGAGAAACTTGTTACTTTCCTCTGAATACGTATGAGTGTTCACTTCTCCTACCACCCCCTTTTTTATGCTGTACACTTTATTATGCAAGGAATTACAGTTACATATCTGATTGTTTACAAAAAATGAATATTAAGAGGAAATAAGGGGAAGTTTGTTTCCTAGAGGCTGTAAATTTCTTCGAACTCCTTCAACGCCGGGCAGGAACCGAGGATGCAGCGGACATTTCCCCTCTGGATCGCAACACTGAGGCAATGGAAGAAAAAACTTGCCACACTAGAGTCTCTTGTAGTGTCAATGAGCCAGGAACCAAGATCCTTAAAAATCATCTTGCACTCTCTCCCCATGGATCTAGGGTCTCAGATCTTATTGGAAAAAAGTTGTACCGGTGATCTAATTCCCTGTACTTGGTAGACTTGTCTCTTTCTCTGTGTGTCGCTGCGGCTCCTGCTTGGCCGGCAGAGAGGTTGACATAAGTGGTTGCCAGGGTGGATACGCAAGTATAGTCCTACGCCAATTGTCAGACACCCCTTCTAAGGGCGCAGTTTGATTCCGTCTGGTAGGCCGGCTTGGCCAGCTTTGCCGGCCTACCAGTTCCTCTCGTGAAATGTTCAATCCTTAGACTGACCGGGGTAAGTAACACCTTGGCAAGTCCAGTACTCTGAGCAAATGGCTACCAGACTGTTAAAAGTCATTGGTAGCGGTAGCCGTAGCTATTTCCGTCCAATGACCCAACAGCAACTCAGTAGCTACAAACCAGGAGTTCGTTTTCTTTGACACAATTCACTTATATGAGAAAACACGAGCCCCAATTGTAACAGAAACTTGCATGAACCACAAGTAGATTGTATCAGCGAGAGCTCCTCTCCTGAAAGGTTCAAAATTTAGACTGACAGGAATAATGAACACCTTTACAAGACCAGTACTCTTACCATATGTCTACCAGACTGATAAAACTCATTAGTAGCCGAAGTTATTTTTGTCCAATGAACCAACAGCAGCTCAGTAGCCACAGACCAGAAGTTCTAAAAAAAACATCTAGAGAGAGAGAGAGAGAGTCAGTACTCCGTTTTACCCATGAAAATAATAAAAATAACAGTCTGCTATTCCTGGATGTACTAATAACAAAAACAGGAGTCTCTCTAAGCACCAGCGTATATACTAAGCCTACAAACATAGGATTATGCCTGAACGGTAGGCGTGACTGCCCCCAAAGATACAAAGCCAGTGTTCTCAACCCTTATTTGTCGAGCTCTTACCCACTGCTCTGAATGGAGCAACGTGAGTAGTGAGTTTGAAAGAATAACCCAGGTGTTGGTGAACAACGGATATAGCAACACCGAAATAAACACTACAATAAGACGACAACTTGATCGATGGCACAATCCTGAACCACAACAGACACCACAACACCTCAAATAAAATTATATTATAAATCCACCGTGCACAGTGAACCTAAAAAAGAAGAACGAATAATGAACGAAATAATCCGTATAGGAGTAAAAAGCATAACTCCTAACCAAAATGTAGACCTAATCATATTCTATCAAACAAAGAAGACTACCGACCTCCTTATTAAAAACACCTCGAAGCCGATGGAGAACCCTTTACAGCAGTCAAACGTGGTATATGTGTACACATGCCCCCACGAAGGATGTAGCCTTCAATCTAAGTACATAGGCATGACGTCCACCAAGCTGACGAGGTGTGTCAATTCAAATTACGTCCAAATTTGGCCATAGCGCGCATATGAGCCAAAAGTGACGTTATTTTTAAGAGGACGGGTTGATATATAACACTGGCTTTGTTTTCTTTTGTTTTTCTTATGGCAGAAATATGCATAACCGAATATTGCATGCATTCTGGCAATTTTTAATCAAGTTGTTGTCACGTTTGCAGTTTTTTGTTGATTGTTATAAATCATTGATTGTCATTGATAAATCACTGATTTCGCTGTGCATGTGTTTACAGTGGCAAGTGGTAGCGGGATGGACACTGGCAACTATTACCGGTATCCTAGTTGTATTTGGCATGTGGAGTTACAACACGATTCCCAAGAAAGCCCAGTATGACGTGGTAACCCAGTTGGTGTATGGTGGGGGCCAGCGGTTCACCTGGGGCGCTGTAGTGGCTTGGGTGGTCTTCGCTTGTCACAACGGGTATGGAGGTGAGACAATGAATTTCCTCTTCACCTAATCTTCGGCATTTATGCTCTCAAATCTCTCGCAGCAGCTCAAAATCCAGACGTTTAGTCAAGAACAGAAGTAATGACGCTATTATTTCAAACAAATATCCGAATATTACAATTTAAATGATGAATTGAAAGGATTATTTTTGCAGGATTGGTGAATGACTTGCTCTCTCACCCTGTGTGGCAGCCACTAAGCCGCCTGACCTACTCCATGTACCTCGTGGCTTTCCCTCTCCAGTTTGCCATTGTCTTCAGTGCCAGAACTCCTTATTATTACAACTATTTTAACAAGGTAATGTTTTTTATTCGTGGGTTTCTACCAAATCTTGCTACATTGGATATGAAAGGAATTAGTGGACAAGTTTCAGGAATTTGGTTCTTATGCATTGATACATGCATTTAGTTCAAAACTTATAGTGGGCAAGTTGTATGGTTTGAACAAAATCCGATTGAACAGCTTCACCTAACGTGAATAGGCTAATTATAACTCGATACTGCCTGACTTACGTAAAATTCGACCATTAAATATAACTCCAGTAGTTGTAGTAGGCATCCATCAGTCTCAGGAGACAAAGGAGTTGCGCTATGGTTGTCGGTCTGGAGTGGCCACTCCAGGGCGCAAAACAAGGGTAGGTTGATATGAGGGAGAAGCTGTCACCCATGCAGCAGATCCGCCCTCTCCACAGCGCCGAAAATATCGATAGGAAAAGCAAACGCAAATTCCGGTAATCAATCAATAATGAATATTTCGTGATATTTCTTGAAATTCTCGAAATGAACATAATCTGTGCAGTCATCGGGAAGATGTGTGCAGTCATCGTTACATCACGAAGTGGAAGATAATCTGCTCACAGAGGGGCACTCATCCGTATGTGTTCCTAGAACCGATAATTTATTTTGTCATAATCAGCATACACAAATTCCAGTTCATTATAGAACCATGGTCTATAATGAACCGTGGTTCCACTATACATAAAGGACATATCCGGTCACCCCTCACAGTGTTCAAGATAGAACTCGATAAACTCTATTAGAGGATAACTGATCAACCAGGCTGTGATTTATACGTCAAGCTGCGAGCAGCCACGTCCAACAGCCTGGGTGACCACACTATCAACCAGGAAGTTAGGTCAGAGACCGAACTACGGGAAACTTGTCCCCCCGAAATCAACGCAAGGTAACCGCAAGGACTGAACCATTGTTTATAATGAACCATGGTCTGTAATGAACAACGGTCTGTAATGAACCGTGGTCTGTAATGAACCATGGTCTGTAATGAACCATGGTCTGTAATGAACAACGGTCTGTAATGAACCATGGTCTGTAATGAACCATGGTCTGTAATGAACAACGGTCTGTAATGAACCATGGTCTGTAATGAACCATGGTCTGTAATGAACCATGGTCTGTAAGGAACCATGGTCTGTAATGAACCATGGACTGTAATGAACCATGGTCTGTAATGAACAACGGTCTGTAATGAACCATGGTCTGTAAGGAACCATGGTGTTACGGCCCTCTCGGGACGCAACGGGGTTCTTACTCTGATGTTGTTAGAGGAAGATATATTGTATCCGTTCCCAAGCCAGTAGTGGCTATCAAGGGATGAGATCCGTGACGCAAGTAACTTAAAGGGAGTAGGGAAAGAAAGGTAAGAACTTAATATAATATAATTTTCACCATCACCGTTTAATATATATAATAAAAGAGTACACAAGGGGGAGGGGTATTAACACTTTACAAGAGGATCAACACTGTAGTCTTCTGCTGGAGACTATGGATCCTCGAAGCTAGGTGCTGAGTCCGCGGTGCTTTCTTCGTGGCCTCAAGACGTGTCCTCTGAGAACGCCGAGCCTACCCTGGCCACAGGTCAGCCACAACACAGGTCCACTGGGGGCACCGTCGTGGAGGCCGTCAACCACACGTCCAGCAGGTCTGCTGGCAGGTACTGAGCCACCAAGGCTGGTACGGCCACTCCACGAACGATAAAAGGGGTACGCCCTAGACAGGAGTCTCGTGTGATATCACCAATCACCCTCCTGTCCTCAATACCCCAGTGGATTATCGTCTCCAACCGTCGGTCCCGGGTAAATCCTTCCACTGCCACTCCACTGGCAGGCTTAACACACCACAGTGTTCTTCCGGGGGGACGACGTCACAACAGCTGCAGCAAACTTCACAGTATGGAGACTGGCTGCCTCGGGTAGACTGACTTCACCTTCAACACAGTGGTCCCAGGTCGGCTCTGTAAACAGACACGTCATCAATAACTGGGACACTAATACACCACACTCACAGGCTCAGATACAAACGCCCGACATATCCACTCCATAGATGGCGCTGTCTTCGGAGCACCACCTCACCAGAGGTCAGGAGCGGCGGTGTTGAGTGCTGAACCAGACTGGAAACTGGTCCTCGAGGCCAGTACACGCTGTCCTCACTAGGTGTCGTCGTTCGTTTGGCGGGGGTTTCGGGAGCTGACCCACAGATGGCGTGTTTGTCACTGCTCCAGGCTCGGACGCTGGATCCGGGTTCGTAACACCTCCCCACCAAAAAGAATTTGGTTTGGGGTTCTATAAAAAACACAAACCAAATTAGCAGGGCGACACAACTCCAAATGGACACACAAGCTTTACAATCTGGGATGTCGAGGCTGTCACGTCTACAGAATTGTCCTACTGGGCAATTCCGGCACAATGGGAACTTGCAGATGGCAGACGATGACCTGCCTGACGTAATCTTCCACGTCTCCACTGCGATGTCAAGCAGGGGCATCATCTCACATCTCTCGAGTACGGATTGGTTTCGACACGATCTGGGGTGACTCGACACTTCTCTGCGTCGAGGCACCGATGACGGCTGATCACAGACGGCATTTCTGGTACCGGTCCGGTGGTCCTTCAGGGAGACAGGAACCTGGAATACAGGGGTCTGATAATTCAGAGTGATAGCGACAATGGGCAAGTCAGTACTTACTATACACTCCTCTACTAGGCCCACACCTAGTTCCAACAGGGCTGCTTGCTCACCGAAGATGGCATTCGCTCTGCCCCCGTCAGGTCGACCAACGTTCCGTATAACGCTGTGTTGAGGCTCAGCAGTCACGCGGGGGGTGTCAACCTGTCGGAAACAGTCACTCACATTATCACATATCGTACCTCCTGTATCATCTATTACCTCCCAGGTCCCTTCTTCAACTGCAACACTTGCAGTGCAAATCTCTAATCCCAGGGACCTCTTCTCGATGTTCACGGGAGCCATCATCCTTCGGGTCGTCCACTGATCCTTACTGAGAACACAGAGAGCACATAGGAGAACAAAACAAAATACTGCTAAGAAACATGGGGTCAATTGAGGGATATGCTTCCCGAGCCAGTCATGTCCATAGCCGGCAACATCCACTAGCCTGGCTTGGACCGAAGAGGGCACTAGACCTTTTGAACACACCTCACATACCTCTGAAGTCTGGGGAATCTCTGGCTGGTTCAATACACGCTGTACCTTGCCATACCGCAAGTACACATCCGCCTTCGCTCCAGACTCGTTGGTATCTGTGGGTGCCTGCACACAAGGCCTCTCTTCGTGCTCAGGTACCTCTGCCTTCTTAACTTCATGTTCCTTGTCGAGAGAATCAGGAGACACTGCTAGATAACTGTCGATCTGCGGGGGAGAGGACAAATTAGACATGTTCAAATCCGGGTCTGTCTTTACCTGGACATTACCATTGCCTGTAGACACCTCCGACCTTGCTGTTCTGGTAGACTCGTCCACAATCTTGGGAAGATTGATGCTCCAATCGGTCACCAAGTCGTTGGCTAGTACCACGTCAATCCCAGCCACAGGGAGGGTATCGACTACTGCCAACGCACATGTGCCGCTGAAATAAGGCGAGTCGAGATGTACTGGCACTAAGGGGGCGATGTACTGCGTCCTTGGAAACCCAACCAGGACAACCTCTTGTCTCCCGTCCACACTTACTCCCTCGGGTAACGAGCTCTTCACGATCAGGGACTGGGCTGCTCCACTATCTCTGAGCACTACAACTGATCTACCAGTATGATCACTCGTTACATACCCGGTTGAAGTGTGAGGGGCCAACAAACTTGGTCCTTCCTGCGTCGTCGTAGACTGGTTTCCTGCTGGTGGTGTAACACAGCTCATCAACATCACCTCCCTTCGTGCGCTGCCACCTCTTCTGCCTCGGCACCTAGCAGCTATGTGCCCTTTCTGCCCACAAGTCCAGCACACCATATTCCTCCTCGGGCTCCGGTGTTTCGGACTGCTAGGACTTGTTCTTCGGGGGCTACTTGGGGGCGTCTTCTTAGCGCTTCGTGGGACGGGTCTTTCTTCTTCTTCGTCGTGAGGTCTATCAAACCGGCGCTGGTAATTCCTTGGGACGTACTTAACAGACGGCCTATGAGTCAGGATGTACTCTTCAGCCATGGTGGCTGCTGCACTCAAGGTCTCTACCTGCTGTTCCTCTAAGTACGTCTTCAGGTCTACAGACAAACAATCCTTGAAGTCCTCGAGCAGAATCAGCTGCTCGAGGTCTTCCCTGGTCTCCACCTTCCGAGAGGCACACCATTCTTGAAAAAGTCGCTCCTTGATGGTGGCGAATTCGGTGAAAGTGTGCTCTGAGGTCTTCTTCAGGTTTCGGAACTTTTGCCTATATGCCTCAGGTACCAATTGGTACGCCATGAGCACCACTTTCTTCACCATATCGTAATCGCCGGAGTCGTCAAGGGATAACGTAGAGTAGGCAATTTGGGCCTTCCCAGTCAAAACTGACTGTATCATGATGGCCCAATTCTCCCTTGGCCACTCCAAAGAGGCAGCGACTTTCTCGAAGGCTGCAAAGAACTTCGAGACTTCCCTCTCATTGAATTTGGGGACCATTTTGATATTTCTTACCGGATCGAAACCGCTTACTCCAGTTTGTCTCTGTCCAGCGCCTAGTCGTAAAACTTCTAGTTCATGTTGTCTCTGTCTTTCCTCCCTTTCTCGCTCTCGTTCTTCTCTCTCTCGTCTCTCTTCTCTTTCTCGTTCTTCTCTCTCTCTTTCTCGTTCTTCTCTTCTTTCTTCTCTTTCTAATTCTAAGCGCCTCATCGCCAATTCTTTTTCTTTCATATCCATTTCTTTATTTTTCATCTCCACTTCTTTATCTTTTAATTCTCGTTCTACTTCTAACTTCTTCCACTCTAATTCGCGATTGATCTCTAGGGCACGCATTTTGACTGTTAGGAAGCTGATATTAAGCTCACCTGCATCACTGTCAATGTCACTGCCCTTATCTTCCTTTTCTGTGGAAGCTATTTCCTCACCATCCCTTGTACTAGGAGTCTCGCCTTCCTGTTTCTCTTCTGCCTTCAGGTGCCGGTGAACCTTGGACAAGATCTCCACACGGGAATCACTGGCACGGATCTTTATCTCCAGGTAGGCGCTTACTAGTACAAGCTCTGGTTTGCTCAGATATTTTAATCTGGCAAGACAGTCCACTCTGTTCAGAAAAGCCTGAACATCGTCCAGATCATCGATGGTAGCTTTGTCTGCCATTGGAACACTTAGCACTTAACACACTGCTTACACGTTAGCACTTAACGCACCGAGCACTGTTCTACGCCAATATTGCACTTTATCGCACCAAACACTACACTTGCCAATATTGCACGTAATCACTTCGGGCACCACACTACCCAATATTGCACTGAATCCAAGCGAATACTTCGCTCTACAATATTGCACTGAATCACTGAGCACCGCACTAGTCAATATTGCACTTAATCGCTTAATCACAGCGAGCACCGCACTGCACAATATCGCACTTAAGTCACTCTTTAGCACCGCACAGGACGTATAACGTCACAATCGTCACACAGGGGGAATTATTTACAGGGATTACGCCACTTCACCACCCCTGTCAAACATACTTAACAAGGGGACGAATCCCGCTGGGGATGCCAATTATGTTACGGCCCTCTCGGGACGCAACGGGGTTCTTACTCTGATGTTGTTAGAGGAAGATATATTGTATCCGTTCCCAAGCCAGTAGTGGCTATCAAGGGATGAGATCCGTGACGCAAGTAACTTAAAGGGAGTAGGGAAAGAAAGGTAAGAACTTAATATAATATAATTTTCACCATCACCGTTTAATATATATAATAAAAGAGTACACAAGGGGGAGGGGTATTAACACTTTACAAGAGGATCAACACTGTAGTCTTCTGCTGGAGACTATGGATCCTCGAAGCTAGGTGCTGAGTCCGCGGTGCTTTCTTCGTGGCCTCAAGACGTGTCCTCTGAGAACGCCGAGCCTACCCTGGCCACAGGTCAGCCACAACACAGGTCCACTGGGGGCACCGTCGTGGAGGCCGTCAACCACACGTCCAGCAGGTCTGCTGGCAGGTACTGAGCCACCAAGGCTGGTACGGCCACTCCACGAACGATAAAAGGGGTACGCCCTAGACAGGAGTCTCGTGTGATATCACCAATCACCCTCCTGTCCTCAATACCCCAGTGGATTATCGTCTCCAACCGTCGGTCCCGGGTAAATCCTTCCACTGCCACTCCACTGGCAGGCTTAACACACCACAGTGTTCTTCCGGGGGACGACGTCACAACAGCTGCAGCAAACTTCACAGTATGGAGACTGGCTGCCTCGGGTAGACTGACTTCACCTTCAACACAGTGGTCCCAGGTCGGCTCTGTAAACAGACACGTCATCAATAACTGGGACACTAATACACCACACTCACAGGCTCAGATACAAACGCCCGACATATCCACTCCATAGATGGCGCTGTCTTCGGAGCACCACCTCACCAGAGGTCAGGAGCGGCGGTGTTGAGTGCTGAACCAGACTGGAAACTGGTCCTCGAGGCCAGTACACGCTGTCCTCACTAGGTGTCGTCGTTCGTTTGGCGGGGGTTTCGGGAGCTGACCCACAGATGGCGTGTTTGTCACTGCTCCAGGCTCGGACGCTGGATCCGGGTTCGTAACACATGGTCTGTAATGAACCATGGACTGTAATGAACCATGGACTGTAATGAACCATGGTCTGTAATGAACAACGGTCTGTAATGAACCATGGTCTGTAAGGAACCATGGTCTGTAATGAACCATGGACTGTAATGAACCATGGACTGTAATGAACCATGGTCTGTAATGAACAACGGTCTGTAATGAACCATGGTCTGTAAGGAACCATGGTCTGTAATGAACCATGGACTGTAATGAACCATGGACTGTAATGAACCATGGACTGTAATGAACCATGGACTGTAATGAACCATGGACTGTAATGAACCATGGACTGTAATGAACAATGGTCTGTAATGAACCATGGTCTGTAATGAACCATGGACTGTAATGACCCATGGACTGTAATGAACCATGGACTGTAATGACCCATGGACTGTAATGAACCATGGACTGTAATGAACAATGGACTGTAATGAACCATGGACTGTAATGAACCAATGTCTGTAATGAACCATGGTTTGTAATGAACAATGGACTGTAATGAACCATGGTCTGTAATGACCCATGGACTGTAATGAACCATGGTTTGTAATGAACCATGGTCTGTAATGAACCATGGTCTGTAATGAACCATGGACTGTAATGAACCATGGTCTGTAATGAACCATGGTCTGTAATGAACCATGGACTCTAATGAACAATGGACTGTAATGAACCATGGACTTTAATGAACCACGGTCTGTAATGAACCATGGTCTGTAATGAACAACGGTCTGTAATGAACCATGGTCTGTAATGAACCATGGTCTGTAATGAACCATGGTCTGTAATGAACCATGGACTGTAATGAACCATGGTCTGTAATGAACCATGGACTGTAAAGAACCATGGTCTGTAATGAACCATGGACTGTAATGAACCATGGTCTGTAATGAACCATGGACTGTAATGAACCATGGTCTGTAATGAACCATGGTCTGTAATGAACCATGGTCTGTAATGAACCATGGACTGTAATGAACAATGGTATACAATGAACTATGACATAACTATCCCTGGTCTATAATGAACTTTCTCCGACAAATAATTTCAAATATGAGACGAAACTTAAAAATAATGAATATATATTACAACGCAAGGACAATGGTATCAAATGGATGTTGAACTCCTATAAATTGCTTCCACATCAATCATATCTTGGCCTTGACCCGAATACTTCAACCAAATTAAGTAGAAATTGAATAAAAATCGCTTTGGAAAGAAGAGTAAACACAGGGATGAAGGGATCAGGAACCTTTCAATTCTTCACATAATCAAATCTTTCTTTTCATAGGCAAACAATAGCCAAACTACATGGACATGTTTTCTATCACTCTGTGTGGGAAAAAAATATAATGGTGATATATCTTTCAGATAATCGAAACTGTGGGAGTGTTAGTGATCAGTGGAATAATGGCTACGCTGGTCTCCCTTAGTGTAGAGGCTCCAGTCATCGGCCTTGAGAAGGTTCTCCTCGCACGACCTGGTCAGTAATGTGCTTACGATCACAAAACATAACTACAATGTTGTCATACTGTAGAAAGGCAAAAATACAGTTTTGGTTACAATGTATTTGTTGGATTAGTTGCTTGGTGTGTTCTAGTCGACCTCTCGTGTGTTGGTTGGTGTGTTCTGGTCGACCTGTTGTGTGTTGTTTGGTGTGTTCTGGTCGACCTCTCGTTTATTGCTTGGTGTGTTTTGGTCGACCTCTCGTGTGTTGCTTGGTGTTTTCTGGTCGACCTCTCGTGTGTTGCTTAGTGTATTCTGGTCGACCGCTCGTACTCACCTAGTTGTACTCATCTAGTTGTGCTTGTGAGGGTCGAGCTTTGGTTCTTTGGTCCCGCCTCTCAACTGTCAATCAACTGGTCTACAGATTCCTGAGCCTACTGGACTCTATCATATCTACATTTGAAACTGTGTATGGAGTCAGCTTCCACCACATAACTGCCTAATGCATTACATTTGTTAACTACTCTGACACTGAAAAAATTCTTTCTAATGTCACTGTGGCTCATTTGGGTACTAAGTTTCCACCTGTGTCCCCTTGTTCGTGTTCCACCCGTACTAAAGAGTTGTCTTTGTCCACCCTGTCAATTCCCCTGAAAATTTTGTAGGTGGTAATCATGTCTTCCCTTAATCATCTGTTTTCCAGGGACGTGAGGTTCAGCTCCTTTAGTCTTTCCTCGTAACTCATACCTCGCAGTTATGGGACGAGTCTGGTGACATACCGCTGAATCTTTCTAACTATGTCTTGTGTTTAACTAGGTATGAACTCCAGGCTGGAGCTGCATATTCTAGGATTGGTCTGACATATGTGGTATACATGGTCTTGAACAATTCCTTACACAAGTTTTTAAAGACAATTCATATGTTGGCCAACCTAGTATATGCCGATGATGATATCCTTTCGATGTGGGCTTCTGGGGACAGGTTCGGTGTGATATCAACCCCCAGATCTTGCTCTGTATTTGATTCTTGCAAGATTTCACCTCCCAGATGGTACCTTATGTTCAGCCTTCTGCTCCCTTCGCCTAATTTCATTACTTTACACTTTCCTGAGTTGAACTTCAGTAGGCATTTTCTAGACCAATCTTCCAGTTTGTCCAGGTCGTCCTGCAGTCTCTGTCTATCTTCATCTGCCTTGATTCTTCTCATAATTTTTGCATCATCAGCAAACATTAAGAGGAATGAGTCAATACCCTCTGGAAGATCGTTTACATATATTTGAAACAGGATGGGTCCAAGTACAGAGTCCTGTTGGACTCCGCTGGTGATGTCTCGCCACTCTGATATCTCCCCCCTCGCAGTTACTCGCTGTTTCCTTTTGCTTAGATACTCTGGAGCGCCTTATCTTTTACTCCTTCCTGTTGTTCACTCTTTTATAACAGCCTTTAATGGAGTACTGTGTCAAAGGCTTTCTGACAGCCCAAGAAAATGCAGTATGCCCACATTTTTCTTTCTTGCCTAATTTTTGTTGCAAGGTAATAAAATTCTATTAACCCTGTGAGGCACGATATACCATCTCTGAACCCATGTTGGTGGTGTGTTACAAAACTATTTCCCTCCAGATGCTCTACGACTCTTTTTCCTCACGATCTTCTCCATCACCTTGCATGGTATACAAGTTAGGGAAACAGCCCTGCAGTTCAGTGCCTCTTGCCTGTCACCCTTTATGTATATTGGGACTACATTACCTGTCTTCCAGCTTTCCAGTAGGTCTCCTGTTTCCAGTGACCTGTTATACACCATAGAGTATAGAAGCACACTTGGTGCTTCTGCACCTTTCTTTAGTATCCATGGTGAGATTCTGTCAGGCCGAACAGCATTTGTCACATTCAGCCCCAACAGATTCCTTTTGACCTCATTACTGATGAGGTCAAATTCCTCCAAGGTGTTCCTCCATGGCTCGTGTGTTGCTTGGTATTTTCTCGTCGATCTGTTGTGTGTTGCTGGGTGTGTTCCTGGTAGACCTGCTGTGTGTTGCTTGGTGTGTTCTTGTAAACCTTCTGTGTGTTGCTTGGCGAGTTTTTTAGACCTGCTGTGTGTTGCTTGGTGTGTTCTTGAAGACCTTCTGTGTGTTGCTTGGTGTGTTCTTGAAGACCTTCTGTGTGTTGCTTGGTGTGTTCTTGAAGACCTTCTGTGTGTTGCTTGGTGTGTTCTTGAAGACCTTCTGTGTGTTGCTTGGTGTGTTCTTGAAGACCTTCTGTGTGTTGCTTGGTGTGTTCTTGAAGACCTTCTGTGTGTTGCTTGGTGTGTTCTTGTAGACCTTCTGTGTGTTGCTTGGTGTGTTCTTGAAGACCTTCTGTGTGTTGCTTGGTGTGTTCTTGTAGACCTTCTGTGTGTTGCTTGGTGTGTTCTTGTAGACTTTCTGTGTGTTGCTTGGTGTGTTCTTGTTGACCTTCTGTGTGTTGCTTGGTGTGTTCTTGAAGACCTTCTGTGTGTTGCTTGGTGTGTTCTTGAAGACCTTCTGTGTGTTGCTTGGTGTGTTCTTGTAGACCTTCTGTGTGTTGCTTGGTGTGTTCTTGTTGACCTTCTGTGTGTTGCTTGGTGTGTTCTGGTAGACCAGCTGTGTGTTGCTTGGTGTGTTCTTGAAGACCTTCTGTGTGTTGCTTGGTGTGTTCTGGTAGACCAGCTGTGTGTTGCTTGGTGTGTTCTTGAAGACGTTCTGTGTGTTGCTTGGTGTGTTCTTGTAGACCAGCTGTGTGTTGCTTGGTGTGTTGTGGTCGACCTGCTGTGTGTTGCTTGGTGTCTTGTGGTCGACCTGCTTTGTGTTGCTTGGTGTCTTGTGGTCGACCTGCTGTGTGTTGCTTGGTGTCTTGTGGTCGACCTGCTGTGTGTTGCTTGGTGTCTTGTGGTCGACCTGCTGTGTGTTGCTTGGTGTCTTGTGGTCGACCTGCTGTGTGTTGCTTGGTGTCTTGTGGTCGACCTGCTTTGTGTTGCTTGGTGTCTTGTGGTCGACCTGCTGTGTGTTGCTTGGTGTCTTGTGGACGCCTGCTGTGTGTTGCTTGGTGTGTTCTTGAAGACCTTCTGTGTGTTGCTTGGTGTGTTCTTGAAGACCATCTGTGTGTTGCTTGGTGTATTCTGGTAACAATGTTTTGTGGAACATGTTTGTAATTTTCTGGAGTTCATTGATAATTTTGTGGTATATATTAACAGTTTTCTGATATTTCTGTATTGGGATTTATGCAAGCAGTAGTGTGGCATATGCTTGATGCTTTCTGGTACTCTATATGCTAACAGCTTTGTTGTTTATGCTAGTAGGTTTGTGGTATGTGCTAGTAACTTTGTGGCATATGCTAGCAGTTTTATGGTATATACTAGTAATTTTGTGGTATATGCAAGTAGTTTTGTGGTATATGTTAGTAGTTTTGTTTTATTTGTTAATAGTTTTGTGGCATATGCTAGTAGTTTTGTTTTATGTCCTAGTAGTTTTGTGATATATGCTGGTAATTTTGTAGCATATGCTTGTAGTTTTTTAGTATATGATAGTAGTTTTATTTTCTCTGCTAGTAGTTTTGTTTTATTTGTTAATAGTTTTGTGATATATGCTAGTAATTTTGTGGAATATGCTAGTAGTTTTGTGTTATTTGCTAGTATTTTTGTGGTATATGCAAGAAATTTCGAGATATATATGCTAGTAATTTTGTGATATATGCTAGTAATTTTGTGATATATGCTAGAAATTTTGTGGTATATGCTAGTAGTTTTGAGGTATATGTTAGTAGTTTTGTGGTATATGCTAGTAATTTTGTGGTATATGCTAGTAGTTTTGAGGTATATGTTAGTAGTTTTGTGGTATATGCTAGTAGTTTTGTGATATATTCCAGCAGCGTTGTGGTAAATGGTAACAGGTTATCTTGAGTTGATTTCGGGGCTTTTTTAGTGTCCCCGCGGCCCGGTCCGCGGTAACATGGTGACCCCATGTTATTGGTGATCCATGTTGTTGGTAACCCATGTGGTTGGTGACCTATGTAGTTGGTCTCCCCTGTAGTCATTGATCCCAGTGGTTTGTGACCCCCTTTAGTTGGTGACCCCATGTGATTGCTGAACCATGTTGTTGGTGACCGGTGTGGTTGGTGACCATGTGGTTGGTAACCCATGTGATTGGTGACCCCATCTCGTTGATGACCCCCGTGACTGATGACCCCTGTTGCTGGATACCCCTGTAGTTGGTGACCCCTGTGGTTGGTGACCCCTGTGGTTGGTGACCCCTGTGGTTGGTGACCAATGTGGTTGGTGACCCCTGTGGTTGGTGACCCCTGCGGATGATGACCAATGTGGTTGGTGACCCATGTGGTTGGTGACCCATGTGGTTGGTGACCCCTGTGGATGATGACCCATGTGGCTGATGACCAATATGGCTGGTAACCCATGTGGTTGGTGACCCCATGTGGTTGTCGATCAATGTGGTTGTCGATCTATGTGGTTATTGATCAATGTGGTTGACGATCTATGTGGTTATTGATCAATGTGGTTGGTGACCCTTGTGGTTGTTGACCAGTGTGGTTGTTGACCAGTGTGGTTGGTGGCGCTTAAAGTGTCGTGGAATGGTGAGTCTAGAAGCACTGAACCATGTTTCTTTCTATATTCATGATGTCTGAATATTGTATTCCATAAAGTTTTATTGAGGCGTGATAACCTAATTATTGTTACTATATGCAAAATTCTTTATTAACTCAAGATTTACATGTATATTGTTTTTCTTACGATCTCAGATTCTAGAAGCAATGATCCTATCAGTATGGGATCCAAACTCTCGGAACAAGGCACTGAATTCAGACTCTCGGAACAAGGCACTGAATTCAGACTCTCGGGAGATGATAACTACTCATTTATTTCAGAAATGGCTGAACTGGCTCACGATAATGGCACATGTTCTGAGAATGTTGCTGTTGATAATGTTAACAAGTTGTAAATATTGTGTAATTGAAAGGTATGTTTATAATAGTAAAAAAATTGTAAGTAAAATTTGTGAGTAAAATTTGCAGCTGACATTATACAAATATTAAATGAAAAGTAAATAAGAAATAAAGAAAAAATACAATAATAATTGGAGCTTTACGCCAGTAAAATACTTATATTTAAAACAAATGCATATATTAACTATTGCCAAAAATATAATAATTGTAATTAATAGTGCAATGTCATCTGCTTCGGAAATTGAAGTGGAAATTATAATAATAATATTTCTTCCAAGCTAATTTAAACAACAAAATTGTTCAGAAGATTAAGGGCTCTATTTCCATAACACATTTATAGTCATTAATTCATAAACTCTCAAACATTTTCATTTTGAATTACTGATACAATTTGGAATATGCTGATAGAATTAAGTCAACTCTTACACCAGGAACGGTTGAGGGGCCTCAGGGCTGACAACACAGCAAATCAGGCATGACAGGATGGATCTCATCGAAACTTTTTAAATACTGAATAATTTGAAGAATTAAGCCAGACAACTTCTTAAAGAGGTTAGATATAACACAAGCCAGGCGCAAAGGTTTCAAGCTCAACATGGAACAATGTAGAAATGAAACAGGAAATGCTTTTTCTCTCACAGGGGTTATAAACCCATGGAACCGCCTATCTTCCGAATTAGTAAATACCAAAATTGTTGAATTATAAAAAGCTGCTTGAAAAAATCATCAGGACAAATGAGGAGACCTTTGACAACCCGCTGGCTTCCTGTCCTTGTCGAGGGAACTAAAGTGTGACCCTCAGGAAAATTCAGGTATATGTGACTCTACTTTCTGAAACAGTAATGTTGTGTTGCTAATATATACTTTATATTTCTAGACCTTGTTCAGGAATCCTTTCTCATACAGCATTTGGTAGATCCCACACGAGGTAATAACATCCTAAATCTTGTGCTAACTTCAGAAAAGGGCATGATTGATCTAATTCAGGAAGGGGAAAAGCTAACCCTCTCAAGTGATCACCATATTTTAAGATGGGCTACGAATATAGAAACCCGCATAAAGGTAAATGATGATGAATTTCTAGATTACCAATGAGAAGCTTATCAAGGAATGAGACAGGAACTGCAAAACATCTCTTGGAGGTAGCTGATAGGTGAGAATGGCATGGAAGCATCATGGCAAAATTTGAAGAAGGTCACCACGGAACTCGTTCAAAAGTATGTGCCAAAAAGGAGAAAGAAAATAATTGAAACTAGATGGATGACACAGGTCGTAAAACGAGCATTGATAACCAAGAAGAACCTCTGGAGAACGAATAAATCCACGATGCACATGATTGATTATGGGGATATATAAAAGGCCACTAAACTCAGCCACCCAGGAAATCAGATCAGATAAAAAGAAACTACAAAAGAAAACATTCTCAAAACATAAAGAAATATCTAAAATCGTTCTATGCCTACATTAAAAGTAAAACCAAAACAACGGACTTGGTTGGATCCTTAAGAAATGAGACTAACCAAGTTTTAATGGACGATGAAAAGTCGACAAACACTCTGAATGAATGAATAATGTTCACACTAGTAAGGTTAGATGACATCCCATCACCCACACAAATGTTTGAAGGAGGTAATGAGAATGAATTAAAGGATAAATCCATAACATGCAACATAATCAGGAAGAACATTGACAAACTTAAAGACTCAAAATTGTTACGGCCCTCTCGGGTCGCAACTGGGTTCTTACTCTGATGTTGTTAGAGGAAGGGTATCCGGCCCCAAGTTAGTAGTGGCTTTCAAGGGATGTGATCCGTAACGCAAGTAAATTAAAGGGGGAAGGGAAATAAAGTCAAAAACTTAATATAATATAATTATCACCGTCACCAATAAATAAGATATATATGATTACACGGGGGGGGGGGGGTATAAACACTATAATACACGATGTAGTCTTCCTCTGAAGACCCTGGACGTTCTCGGTGCCAAGCTCTTGGTGCTCTCGTGTCCTCACGACGAATCCTTCGAGAATCTTGAGTCTACCCCGGCCACAGGCCAGCCAAAACACAGTTCCACTGGGTGCACCGTCGTGGAGGCCGTCAACCACAAGTCCAGCAGATAGCTGGCAGGTTCTAAATCAGCGACGCTGGTTAGGCCACTCCACGAGCAATACTAGGGTCGCGCCCTAGTCAGGAGCCTCGTGTGATACCACAGATCACTCTCCTTTCCACAACACCCCAGTGGTTAAGCGTCTCCACCAGTCAGTCCCGGGTATGACAATCCTTCAACTGCCGCTTTACAGGCAGGGTAACACCACAGTGTTCATCCGGGGGGTGACTCACAGCTGCTGCAGCAAACACTTGGTGACGAGACGGCTGCCTTGGGTAGACTGATCCAACCTCCATTACAGCAGTCCCAGGTCGACTCTGTAATCAGACACGTCATCAGTAACAGGGACACACTAAAGCACCTCACTTACAGGCTCAGACCCAAACGCCCACCTATCCACTCCATAGATGGCGTTGTCGTCTGAGCACCACCTCACCAGAGGTCAGCAGCGGCTGTGTTGTGAGCTGAACAGGACTGGAAACTGGCCCTGGTGGCCAGTACAGCTCGTCCTCACCAGGTGTCGTCGTCCATTTGGAGGGGGTTTCTGGAGCTGACCCACAGATGGCGTGGTCGTCACTGCTCCAGGCTCGGACGCTGGATTCGGGTCCGTAACAAAAATCCCCAGGTGTGGATGGAATACAATCCAAAGTCATAAAGTAACCGGCAGTAGAACTACGCCTACCGCTGAAATTACTTTTCACAAAATATCTGTACCAAGGGATAGTCCCTCTTGATTGGAAAAATGAAAAAGTTACCACTATTTTAAAAAAAGGCAGAAAGAGCTCTGCACAAAACTACCGGCCGATAGCTTGACATCACTCATCTGCAAGCTCGTGGAGAGAATCCTAAGGGAGAGAATCATTTGACATCTTTCAGTGATAATCTGAACATTTATGTAAAATCGACATAACATGGGTTTGTTTAAAATAGATCCAGCCCTCCAAACCTGTTAACATTCTTAGAAACGGTAACCAGCTACTCAGAAAAAGGACTTCCGGTGGATCTAGTATACATGGATTTTGCTAAAGCCTTTGATAAGGTACAACATAAGTGACTGGCAATGATAGTCTTATTAAAGGCACATGTAATAAATGTAGAATACTAGAATGGGTAAAACAATAGTTAAAACAAAGATACCAAAGAATCGTGCTAAATGGAAAGGAATTTGACTGGATATGGTAAGTACAGCACCACAGGGGTCCATTTTGAGGCCAACCCTTTTTGTCATATATTTCAAAGACAATGACAAGAATATTACAAACCACGTCATGAAATGTACAGATGACACACATATTTATGGTAAAGTGGGAAAGGAAAATAATATTGAAGCCTTATAACGAGACCTACATGAACTCCACAAATGGTCTGAAAACTGGCAAATGCTTTTTAATATCGACAAATGCAAGGCCTGACATGTGGGGCATACCAACCCATGCCACAACTACCAAATTAATAACATTACATTACAGCAGATTGATGAAAGAATGGACCTGGGAATAAAAATCAATCACTCGGTGAAAGTTGCATAACAAGTAGGAGCAGCTGTCAAAAAAGCTACAGAAACCCTTAGAATAATGAAGCGTACCTTTGACTTATAGAAAAATAAGGTAGTAATTAAATTGTGTAAATCTCTCGTGCAATCCCAATTGGATTTCTATATCCATGAATGGAGAACTCATCTTCAGAAGGGCAAAGCTGCTCTGGAGAAAGTGCAACTCCGGGCAACAGAAATAATTCCAGAGCTAAGTTAACTCGCGTATCAGGAACGATTGAAGGCCACAGGACTAACAGCAATGCAAACCAGGCATGAAACCGCGGATCTCATCTAAACTTTTAAAGCACTGAACAAATTGGAAAATTGTTGATCCGGACAATTTCTTCAAAAGGTCAGCTGCAACACAAACAATGAGCAACGGTTTCACGGTCAACAAGCCACAATGTAGGACTGAGAGCAGGAGATGCTTTTTCACCCACAGGATTATAAGCCCATGGAACTGCCTACCCGCTGAAGACGTAAGTGCCAAAACTCTGTTAAATATTAAAATCCAACGGTAAAAGATCATCAAGGCAAATTGAGGGGACGTTCGGCAAGCCACTGGCTTCCTGTACTCGTCAAGTTTCTCGTCCTGTCCATGTAGCCTGTGCTACATGGACATTTCGTTCTGAGTAGCTAAATCTAAAACAACAACAACAGCAGGCCGCACCAGGAGCACAGTTACAGCCCCTCTCCTATGACAGGTAAGTCCACTACGGGCTCACCATAGCCCGTGCTACTTGGAACGTTTTGTTCCCAGTAGCTGAATCTTAAACAACAACAACAACAGCAGCAGGCCCCGGGCGCATTTTCCTCTTCAACTGTCTCATGAACAATTCATGAAGCTCAAGTTACCAAAAACCAAACTACTTAACTATGCAGACGACTTTGTGGTCATTATCAATAGCAAAGGCACCAAGAACCATGCACAAAAATGACTAGATATTATCATCAGGGAAGTGGAACGCATAACAGTGAAAATAAAGCAATAAAATCAAAGCAATGGCCGTTAAAATGAGAACTCAACACATCAGACTCGCAATACAATGACATGAAATTGAGTGGGTTACATCTTTTCAATACCTAGGAGGCATGATAGACAGCCAGTTGAAATTCACTCAAGAAATTGAATATCTTCGGCAACGCTGTAAAGCCAGAAACTCAGTTTTGCGCTCCCTGACAAGTCTTAGAGATGGTGCATCTCTACCAGTACTCAAAATGTACTACGTTTAAGCAGTTAGGTCACTCATTGACTATGCTGCCCCTGCTCTTACATCCCTCAGTGATAACCAATGGGAAAAACTGGAAGTGTCTCAAAATGATGCTCTGCGAACAATGCTTGGAGCACCTATATGGACGCGTTGAAAGAATATAACAATGGAAACCAACTTACCAGCCTTAGAAAACAGGATCAAACAAAGGATAGCCACCATAACAGCAAAACTTGTTGGAACCACCGCCAGACTGTCAATCAAAGATAGCATACACAGATCGCTTCAGAGAAACCTTCAATATAGAACAAGTGCATGGACGGATAATCTGGTCAAGATTCTAGAGAAAGTGGACTTGAAATGAACCATTAAAAACAAAGGGGAAGAAAGACCATGTCAACGCTTTCGGCAGCCTCCTCCATGGGAAGAATCGAACCGAAAGATTAACATTGAAGGATTACCAGTTTTAAAAAAACCAGCATGTGACTCAAAGAGGCTCAAAGCAGTCATAGAACAACAAATGGAAACCGTCTCAAGACCTACAACGACTCACATCTTCACAGATGGATCAGTTGATCAAGAAAGAGGTTCTGCCGGGGCAGCAGTTTACACTACCAACCATGAAGCTTACTGGAGCATGAATAGTGGGTGCTCAACATTGCAAACAGAATTATATGCCTTGAAGGAGGCCACAAACTGTACAATTGAGAATGATTTACATGATGTCATCATTCATACCGACTCTAAATCTTCGCTCCAGGCATTGTTATCCAGCAAGCACAGAGATAATATACAACTCACAGAAATTCCTTTTTTATTAATACATTAGGTTCTGCATTTGTGCAGCTACCCTAGACTATATGATGGGGAGCACAGTGTGTCAAAAAGCTAGCTACGTGATGCTAAGAATTCCCCATCACACAGGATGACTGGTCATACAGAGGCATATGATAAGTAGTCTGCACTGACAGACTCCGTGCTCGTTATGAGGATATCATGAACACAAGAGTGAATAAGGTAGCAGTAATACTAAAAGTCCCTATCTCGCAGGATGGTTAGTCATACAGGGCCATATGTTCAGTAGCCTGCACTGGAAAATTTTGGGAACACTATGAGGATATCTTCAAGAAAATGAGAGTGAATAAAGTAATTGCAAAGCTCCAGGTATCTCATGCTAACTGGTTTGAAAGGTCTAATAACTGGGCATTAGATGATGAAGTGTGGGGAGATCATGTTCTCCCGCAATTTCTGCTCACAGAGTTTGCACCTGGAGTGTTCAGGATTGGGAGATCCGTCACCTGTAGCCACCTGCCACAAGTAATGGTAACCCAACTGGATCCTGGCAACCACTGTGTCGCACAGTCTTGTGGACGTTTTGTGCTGCCTATAGATATAGGTTTCAGATCTGACCAAATCATAGCTTTTGATTTGATATAGGTCGTTTGGAGTCAGTAATTTCTTTCCTATCAGACCTGAGTATTTGGACCAATATAGTTTTGACAGAAGAGATGGGGATACCTAGATCTAATTCAACTTCATCTTTGTTACACGCTAATTTGGCTGCAATGTCTGTCTCATTTTGATGGGTTATATTTATGTGTGATGGTATCCATACAAAGGAGATTCGAGACCCTTTGCTCTGTGCAGCTATTAGGTCATTTATAATTAATTGGTAGTATTAGGTTCTTGCTGTCGATCTTCCAGGAGAAGTTTTCGATTGCTTGAAGAGCATTGAATCACAAAATATTATTCCTCCTCCTCCTCCAATGTTTTTTAATGTACTGGTAGCTAGTTGTAATGCTGTTAGTTCTGCTTGTGTGGAGGTCAGCCAGTTGTTTAACCTAACAC